TCGGCTCAGACCAGCCTGCGGCTGAGGCGCGCTGTGACCCCCTGTACGGTCCTGCCTGGCGCCCGGGTACCCTGTGGATAACCTTGAGGTGGTGGGGCGGCGGCAGGGGGCACAAGCAAGGTGAAATGGTTCTTTTGCTTAAAACTGCGCAGTGCGCTATAGGGCCGTTCTTTGTCTGTTTACGCAGCTGGTTCTGGCTTCTGGAAGCTTGGAGCTGGGTACGGAAGGGATGAGTGCCCTGTCAGGATGTAAGCCGAGGAACATGGTGCCGGGCTGTGGAATTGAGGGAGGGTTGTAGTATTAGGGTATAGGGTGTCCGTGGGAGTAGTAAATCCTCAAGTGTGGTGACAGGAAAGCTGGGTTAGAATAAGGAAACTCAGCCTATCAGGAAGAACACTGTTAATCTCAGCCCATGAAAGAGTCCTCCAGGCTTGGGAGTGCCAGTGTTCTAGAATGCCAAAATAGAGTATGCAACAAATAAAAAAACCTGAAAAGAACACCAACACCCCCCCCTAAAACCAAAAAAACAAACCTTGCTTGGAAATAATTCTGCCTTGTTGCAAGTATAAACAAAACAAAGTGACCTATATCACTTTGTTTGAAAATAAAAATTATTTTGAAGGGTCCCGGCCTGTTTTAAGATGGCAATTTTCTAGTAAGAGTTTTCAACTGGTAATGCTAATAAAAATGTCCAATGTTCCTAGCTTGGTTATATGCAAAATTGAGACTTTGCATATAAGCAAAAGTAAGATATTGAACATTTATGTCTCAAACACTTAACACTCGGTGTGTGTTTTGCTTCAGAAAGATAGCTTTGGGGTTAACCTACATCTCCAGGGCTGAAATCTATTTATAGGTTTATATGTAAGTATTTTCCCTTAATAAAAAAAAATCTTACAAAACTCTGATGATGTTTACAGAATGTTTGTACTGAAGCTTCACCAGAGGCAAAGGCTTGCCTTTTGCAAATGACCTTATAGAGTACGTGCAACACAACTCTCTCTGTACAATTACAGGAACTGAAAGTAAGTTTGTCTAAATATATGTGAGTGAATTACATGGTTTTGTGGCTTTCTTTTTTTTCCTTAAAGATCTGCCACGATGCCTGGGTCTCTTCCAGTGAATGCTGAATCCTGTTGGCCCAAAGATGTGGGAATTGTGGCACTGGAAATATATTTTCCCTCTCAGTATGTTGACCAGACAGAGCTGGAGAAGTATGATGGTGTGGATGCTGGGAAGTACACCATTGGGCTAGGCCAGGCAAGGATGGGGTTCTGCTCTGACCGTGAAGATATCAATTCCCTCTGCTTGACTGTGGTTCAGAAGCTCATGGAGAGGAATAACCTTTCCTATGATTGTATTGGGAGATTAGAAGTTGGAACGGAGACCATAATTGACAAATCAAAGTCTGTGAAGACTGTCCTGATGCAGCTTTTTGAAGAGTCTGGTAATACAGATGTAGAAGGAATCGACACCACCAATGCATGCTATGGAGGCACTGCTGCTCTTTTTAATGCCATTAATTGGATTGAGTCCAGTTCCTGGGATGGTAAGTCAAGGGTATTTTTTCGAAAAGTTACATCATCCTTACATCAGACTGCCTTACAATGACAGTGATCATGCTTAACCGTATAAAATCCAGAGGGTGAACTGTTTTTCTCTTCGGAAGTCCTTTTCTTAAATGCCCTGGGCATTTGCCTCTAGTTCAGTTACAGTGTGAAGAATAAGGACATAGCTACTAATGCAAAGGTCTTCTGTAAATTTTGGTGATTGCCAATTGAAATGTGTGAGAAAAGTCAAAATGGACAAGCCCTTTAATCGTGATGTTATCTCCACAATAACTGAAGTCTAAAAATTGTTGATGGATGTTATGGTGTGCCAGACTCATGGCTCCTTCTCACCATTTTTCCTGTCTGTTTTCCCCAGGACGCTATGCCCTCGTGGTGGCTGGAGATATCGCTGTGTATGCCTCTGGAAATGCCAGGCCCACTGGGGGAGCTGGTGCTGTTGCAATGCTGGTTGGACCAAATGCACCGTTGATTTTTGAGAGAGGTTAGTCCTGTGGGAGGACATACACTGTTCAGGTCAGATTACTGCATTTCCCTGGAGCCTCTTCCCTGGCTTTTGTGCCTTGCTGAAGCGGTAGATTAACTCCCACTAATTTTGGAAATTGTTCTTTGCCTTCTTTTGCTCTGGGCTAACTCAGCCAAGTCCTGTTACAGGACATGTCAGAGAACAATTAGAGGTGCTCTTATTTGTTTATTTCCTTGAGGATTCTCCAGTAAAATTGATTGAGTAATACAAGAGCTGAATAAAACAACATTCAACTTCCAGGACAATATGACAATCCTTTATTGCATGTGTTTGTCATGCTCAGTCGTACTCTAATGTACAGGCTGTTGTGGACTGTGTGAAACCTTACCTTAAAAGGCCAGAAGTGCCTTAAAAAAACTGCTAAATTGAGGCCAAAACTACTTCTTTTCCCATGTTTGCCAACTTACACATCCCAATTGACTCAAAGCAGCTGAATTAACTAATTTTCAACTTTTGTTGATTTCTATCCACCAGGATTGCGTGGAACCCACATGCAGCATGCGTATGACTTCTATAAACCAGACATGGTCTCTGAATATCCTGTAGTGGATGGCAAGCTCTCCATACAGTGCTACCTCAGTGCATTAGACCGGTGCTACACCGTCTATCGCAACAAAATCCACGCCCAGTGGCAAAAGGGTGCGTAGCCTTCTCCTGATGATACTGCAAGATTGGCAGATGCTGGAGTGTGTACTACACAGACAGTTTTATTATCTGATCTAAAAACTAGTCTGTGAGTCTCTTCATGTTTGTATGTTTTGAAGTAATTGAAATGTTTGCTCTATCCTGTACAAAATCATTTATTTCTGTTCTGGCATGCTAAATTCATGACAGTGTGTAAGCAGTAGTCTTTACAGGCATTTGTTGATGTAACATATAATGCCTTGGTTAAAAGCATACTGTTACCTACCTCCATCCAGGCTTCTAAGAAACTTATGTTAATATTTAAATGTTATGTAATTATACAGATTTTTTTAACTCAACATGTTTAATGATTGCTTCAGTTATATTAAGAGGCATAGATATGAAGAGAGGCAAATTAAATAGATTATTATGTGAAAATGCTGGGTAGAAATACAGAGATTCTGTTAAACATAGCTTTTTGTTCTAGAGAAAGTGCTAACATTGTTACCTGCTACAAAAGGTGGTAAAAAAAGAATTCTTTAATAGAAGCAGTTCAGTGTGTTAAGTGCACTTGATGGCAGTAGTATTACTTGTGTGTTTGTGTCTTTTCAATGCAAACATGTTAAGATGACTGGTGTTTTGCCGGCTCCCTGCTTTATTTCCATAATTGAAGTGAGTACTAAACATAGGTTGTAACACAACACTTTTGCCACTTCCAGAGGGGATGGACAGACATTTTACCTTGAATGACTTTGGGTTCATGATCTTCCATTCTCCGTACTGTAAACTGGTACAGAAATCTGTGGCTAGACTCTTGCTGAATGACTTTCTCAGTGACCAGAACCCAGAAACAGCAACTGGTATTTTCAGTGGTCTGGAAGCTTTCAGGTGAGAATGGCTGCTGTCTTCCTTATTCACATAATCTGTTACACATCTAAGGTGTGTTTTTACTTTCTGCGATTTTAGTAACTGTTTCTGAACTTTTTGTTTTCTTTTCTTTTGAATAGGGATATAAAACTTGAAGATACATACTTTGACAGAGATGTGGAAAAAGCTTTTATGAAAGCTAGTACAGAGCTCTTCAATCAGAAAACCAAAGCTTCATTACTTGTATCCAATCAGAATGGAAATATGTATACCCCTTCAGTCTATGGTTGCCTTGCTTCTCTTCTAGCCCAGTAAGAATAAAATTGGGAAAAGCTGTTTATGAATAAGGTCATAAAAGTTTTTTTTCAGAAAGTCTTTTGTAAAAGCATCATTTAGCAAACCTTTTCTTATGAGACTTCCTTAAGCAGAAAAATTAAAGCTAAAACACAATTCTGCACATACATTCAGTTCAAGTGATAAGCAGATTGAAAATGTCTGTGTCAGAAGCTGATCAAAAACAGCTGCTTACTGCCTTGCAGAGTAGGATGTTATTTGTAAGGTAGCGTCTGTTCTCAGCCCCAACTTTCCCCCGGCTCTTTCTTCCCCTAGAAACATTCCTGAAGTGGAAAAAAAATCTGAATCTTCTCTATCTTACTGTAATAAGCAAAGCTAAATTAAATTAGCATTTAATTAAAGTGGTTTTTTTTCTAATACAGTCTTTTGCAAAATCATATTAAGTTTACATTAAACCACTCCTGGGTTTTCTCTTTTTTCCTTTTTTCTTTATTTTCCTTTATTCTGACGTTGACTTCCAGGATGTGGTTTTGGGGTTTTTTTTGGCTTTAGTTTGCTTAAGAATGAAATCTGTTTGCCTTCATCATATTCTGGGCATTTCTCAGGCATGTTTTGCTCTAGGCAGCTTTCTAACTCATCACATAACAGCAGTATTTGAATATGCTTTTAAAAGTCTGTATTTATGCATATAGTATGTTAAATGTGTATTATAGACATTATACTTTTCTGGTTGATTTCCAAAGCTAGATGCAGTTTCTAGTTATTTAAAACTGTCACTTTGGCTTAATTGTGACTTTTAAAAGCCGTTGTATGATTTGCAGGTACACCCCAGAGCAGCTTGCGGGACAGAGAATCAGTGTGTTCTCATATGGCTCTGGTTTTGCTGCTACCCTGTATTCCATCAGGGTGACACAGGATGCCACTCCTGGTGAGTGACTCGAGGTTACATCAACTGCCTCCCTTGCTCAGCTTGCTCTTTTAAGAGCTGGTAGGTTGTTACACAACCTACCAGCATAAGAAAACCTGCAGGGCAGTGTCTTAATGACAGCAATGCCACACTGAGAGTATCCAGCTTCAGGGAGTGTTTAAGTGTCTCCTTGAACAAACAAATAATAGCCTTCAAACTCTGTTAAATGTTTTGAGTTGGTAATTGGGAATATTTTTAAATGACTAGTACTTCAGATTCTGTAATGCAAAGTACTTTGAATGGGGTGTACTTTTCATTTCATGTGAATGAAATGTTCACATACCAGTGTGCAGTTCTCAATACTGATTCTGCCTTACATGATGATTCTATATTGCAGGTTCTGCACTGGACAAAATAACTGCCAGCCTTTCTGATCTCAAAACAAGACTTGACTCAAGAAAATGTGTTGCAAGGTAAGAACCTAATAAATGTCAATCATTCCTAGTCCTAGAGCAAAATGCTTATCACTTTATCCACCTGACTAAATGATTAGGGTGTAGAATGAAGGAAATGTCTGACTCTTTCTGCTTCTTCGTAGCTTATGTTCATTTGGCCCAACATATCTAAAGTAAAAATACTGGTTTGCTTTTTTCTGTCTCAGTGCATCCAATCTGCAAAGGCGTGCATTGGGTGAAAAACTTGCCAGGAAACAACTAACAGTGTGTTCCTTCCTTTCTTACAGCCAATTATATTCCGCAGTGTTCAGTGGAGGATCTCTTTGAAGGAACATGGTACCTTGTGCGTGTGGATGAGAAACACAGGAGAACTTACGCCCGGCGCCCACTTATGAGCGATGGACCTCTGGAAGCAAGAGTTGGAGTTGTCCACCCAGGCGTTGTTCATGAGGTGAACACTCGGCACTCTTTTAAAGTTTGATGTAAATGGTGGAACCATTTACATCTTTCTCTTAGCATGTGCATGTATGTTAAAAGGAAGTGGTTTTACAAGTTACATTGAATACTTTGTTAACATGTAACATACAAGCCAGAAGTAAAAAGTTGAAACTGCGATTTTAAAAAGTACATTTCATCATAAAAAGAACAAAACTGCTGAAGAATGAAAGAAGAACAAACTGGCTCTTCTCACACAATCTGTTTGCATGAAGCATGACCAATTTGATTGACTTAAGACAAAGCCGTCCATTGTTGCATGAATGTTGTTTGAGAGTTGGACTAGCCATGAAGTATGAATGTCTGTGAACTAGAAAACTGTATTTAATGTTTTTTTTCCCTTCTTCTTAGCACATCCCAAGCCCTGCTAAGAAAGTGCCAAGAATCCCTGCAACAACAGAATCTGAAGGCGTTACTGTCGCCATTTCCAATGGGGAGCACTAAGATACCTCTGTGAGGTGGGGAAAGAAACAAGGTGTGAGGGCAGGGTGACAGAGAGAGAGAGAAAAAGGATTGCAGTAGCACTGAAGTTTCAGTGTACAGTAGTACTTAATTGGAGCATGAAAAACTGTTTAGGCTCCTTGAAAAAAATCATCATTATATGGTGTGCTGATTTTATAGTATTTTCAGAACACTACAATCAGGAGTATATTGGAGATAGAAGGACTTGCCAGGTGCTGTGGGGATTCCTTAACATGTCTGAACTTTTTTAATTGCTGAGAAATAGCTGTAGTTTATTACAAAGTCATCATACACAGAAAGGAAAAAAAAGGAATCTTCTGCCTGCTCTTCCATGTAAAATGACTTGAAACCTACACTGTTAACTTCTACTAGTACTCAAGTGTGTGCGAAATAGTCCAAGCTTTTAATGTTAGGGTTCTCAGTGCCTTGACAGTAAGCAGTCAACCTTCTGAATACTGCAATTCTCTTTCACTTTATCACCTTCCCTTTCATCTCCCAGTCTGCCTCCCATCACCCCATTGCTTTGGGATAGGCATAGAGCCAAGAACATCTGTTTCTGGAATAGAATCTCTCTTCCCTGTCAAAATGACCGGATCAAGAACAGCTAGGCTGACAAGTGGTTTTCTTAGAAGAAACTCCGTGATCCAATTTCTTAGTTACTGTGTAATCCCTCCTAACATCTTACATGTTTTATACCTGCATTCTAAGTCACAGGAGACTGGGAGGAAAGATTTAGAAGAAGGGAGGTAGTAAATTTTTTATTCTAAAGAAAGGGGATCATTGATTTGGCACCATAATGGATTGCTTAGTAGAATATCCAAGGCAGCAGACTTTCCAAATACAATTTAGAGCTATTGTGGAGCTGTTTTAATTGGCCAGCGAAGGAAGAGACTGATGTTCATCACTTTGTCTGGAACTCCAGCCTATTAGTTGTCTTTATATAATACATTTCCAAATGACTCTTTCTCGCTTTGAATTTGGCTTTGTACTTTGCAGTTGTTCTCACTATTGTTAATACTGTAGGAGTGGAGTCTTTCATTTCTTTCCCCCTTCCCCAATGTGCAAGCTAAAGTTATCCATTTTGCAAGCAGTAGATACATATACAGTGGTTATGGGGAGTCCATTCTGGTAGATTTTTAAAGCCCAGATTGGAAGTGAACTATGATATGAGCCTTTTAAGCTTGTAATATATATATATATACATACATATATATATATATATATATTTAAGTTGAGCTAATGTACAGAATGAAGTTTCATTGAGTTTATTTCTTTGCTAATTCTACAAAGCTACATCATCTAATATAAAGTAGCAAAAAATTATTTCTGTTAATTACATTTTTTTGTGTGTGTGTAATGAAGTGTTTGTATTACCTGTCACTCACTAGGATTTGATAACTTGCTGTATTTGTACAGTCAAGCCTTGACAAATAGTTGTTTATTATAAATTGACGAATACTAATCTGTTTGTTCTGCTGAAAATGATGGAGCAATGCATGATGATAGTGTTTGCAAGTATTTTGGTTTAGGCTGCCCTCATGAAACTTAACCTTGGCACCTGTAAAACAAACTGTCATGGAACAAAGTCCATTGCTGGCAGTGGACAAGCCAAGAAGTGAGCTACTGGCACAGGCCTCACGGGTCTGTGAGGCTGATCCTTTATTAAAATAAAGTTTGAGATATTTGAAACCTGCTGGAGTAATGCTGACTTGTTCATTTTTTAGAATGGATTTCTTTTTCTTTAATAGGAAAACAGAAGCTGGCTCTGGTAAAAACTCAAAGTTGTGGGTTCACAAGCTGTGTGGACATTCTGTATCTTTCTTCTTAGTGTTGTTCCATTGCAAAAGGGGGAAAAAGAGTTTCTTAGGCTGGTGTAAAACAATTTTATCAGGGCCATGTTTCAAGATAACTTAAAATGCTTTTATAAGGAAAGTGTTTATAGTAGAGGAATTAATACCCACTTTATGAAATGCAATTAATTTTAATTACTGTTTTTAAAAAATTGATTGTTTTATTGTTTTATTACCCTCAGAAAACCTGTGAAGGAGGCATGGTTCTTGCTTTGTACACACCTGAACCCCCTGAGTCCAGTTTCCTATACGTGCCTTTTCATAGTTATTCTGTTCCTCATTTATATGAATTATTCCCTCTGAAGTGAAATGATAGACTCATCGATGTCATAACACATAAGGCACCCCACCTTTAAATGTGAAAGCACCAGCTGTGCCTGTGTACACCTTGTGTTTGGTATCTTACCTTAACTAAACTCATAGGTTCTACCTCCTAGCTTAGGCACATCAGCTGTCGCTGCTCAGAGAACAGCTGCCACACTTGTCCTTTGTACTGAAGTTGATGCTGTTGAAGATCTAAGCATAGAATAAGCAATTAAAGCTGAAAATCAGAGCATCTGCATTTTGGTGCAGATGCAGATGACAACTGGAGTTGTCAGCTTTTAACTTTCAAGTGTCAAGACGAGCTTTGTGTCAGCTTTGGTTGCCAAAGCAGGATGGCAGGAGTGAGGACAAGCCTGTAATGCTCAGCGAATATAAGCAGATTTTGCTGCTGCTTGCATTCAGCTACTGGTAACAAGAGCTAAGGCAAGAACTTAAAACTACATAGGTTTTGGAGTCTGCTTAAATCTATCTTTATTGGAGTGCAGCTGGAGTCCAAGCAGTTCCAGACTGGCAGAATTGTGCAAGCAGTGGAAGGCGTCAGAAGGGTAATTGATGGCAGCCCAACCAGTCAGGCACCCACACATGCAGGGTTAAAATACTGAATCCTGACTGGTCTTCTGGAATCATGACAAGTTGGGAACTGCAGGCAACAACAGCTTTGATGCTTCTTGGAAGAAGCTTTTTCAAAATTAACTTGTTTAATTTGATGAAGCTCAAAAGCAGAATTTGTAATGGTTTAGATTATGGTCGGTGTCTACTTGAATTTATTTCTCTGCAAAAACTGTCCCAATTTGCAGTGTTGAGCTTAGTTGTGTTGAGCTGAGATACAGCTTTTCAGAAGTTAGCTGTTACATGCCTGTGCAGAGTAACTCCCAAATTAAGTGCAGTAACATGGTGTTTATTGAAAGATCCCTCCACTCATGATCTTTTCAGTTACTGAGTTCTTGCACTGGCTATACCAAGTGTCTGGAGAATGGGTCAAACAAATGCACGAGAGCTCTGATTTGAGTGCTTCACTGTCAATTGAGAAATGCAAAGAAAATGAGGCCTTTCTGGTTTATTCAAAAATTACAAAAAAAAATGTAATGCTACAACTTAAGGATAAGCGAGTAATCCCCTTTGTCAAATGTGCTGAGCATAAAGCCTGCAGTGCAATTTTATAAAATAGAACACAGCTTGGATGTGTGCTTAATGCCACTGTAAGAAGTGATTCCGTTCCTTGAGTCGTCTTCTTTTGGATCTGGCTGGGACATGATAGGAACGGATTCAAGTGCCCTTTTCTTCTGTACTCTGTGCAACACAATTCTGTAGACTCCGGTTATGGAGCTGCGTGCATCTCTTCCCCGGTTGTTTTGAATGTGCTCTTCTGTGATTCCCAGATCTTCCAGAATATTTTTCACTTCAATTTCTTCTTCTCTGAGTGTACTGATTTCTGATAAATACTTTGGATCCAATTTAAATGTCTGTAAAGGTTTGGGGAACTGTATTCCTTGCATCCATTCACTGTTCATAATCAGTTTGACAGAGTATCGCTTGGTTGGTACTGGCTGAAGGACTCCTTTTATCAGTTTCTGGCAATTTTCTGAGAGGCAGGGAGGCAAAGTGTATGTCCCTTCAAGAATGCACTTTTTCAGTTTGCCTACAGTATCTGCCCGGAATGGCATGCTACCTGTCATCATGAAGTACAGGAGGATTCCCAGTGCCCAGATGTCTACATAGATGCCGATATAGTTTTCATCTCGGAAGAGTTCAGGAGCAGCGTAAGGAGGAGAGCCACAGAAAGTTTTTAAAGTTTCATCTCTTTTACTTATTGTGCTGAATCCAAAGTCTCCCACCTTAACACAGGTGTTGCTGGCATAGAAGACGTTTTCTGCTTTCAGGTCCCGGTGGATGATATTATTGTCATGCTGTGGAAGAAGAGGAAAAGTTGTTGGTTTGTTCCCAGGACAGTTCTCAATGGCTACCTCTAATTGGTTAATTACCCTGAAGGAGAAAGCGAGTTATCTTGGGCAAATTCGGAAACTAGTATTGCAATTGGAAAAATATTAATCAAATTTAACTTAATTCTCCAAGGATACCAAAACAATTGAGTAGGGGGAGAAGAAGGATGCTGGGATTTTTTAAGCACAGCACTCTCAACTTATTAATTAATAGCAACTATTTTCATGAAGCAAATGTGTGAGAGCAGTGTGGCTAATCCTACGAGACTAGATACCATGTGAAAAATCTGTATTTTTTTAGGGTTAACAGCCGTTTAGGGTTTTGCCATTACTGCATGTAACTTACAGATTTAAACATTTAGTTCACCAACTGAACATTTTCACAGATAAAGTAAGAAATTTGCTACCACTACATTCTGTGATCTAATGTCCTATGAGGAACTGGTGGTGCCAGGAGAAAAGGACCAGAGAGTTGGACCTCATAGAGCTACATGATGCAGGAAACCAAGTTTAGTGGTGTTCTAGTTTTAGAAACCTGTAATACATAAACCATAACTTCTACTTTTTTTCTTTGGAAATGCCAGTAGTAGCTAAGGACTCAAACTGAATTTGCTCTGCCTAGTCATGACATACTTGTCTTGATTAAGTTAGAGTTTAGCTTCTTTGGAATAAGGTAGAAGGAATGGATGAGCATTCTCTGTCTTATCCTTTGGAGTAACATTGTACAGTATCTGGAGGCTGTAAAGAAACCCTTTGGCATCCTATTTCAACTCTCATCAGTAATAGCCAGGGATCCTCTGTCCTTGTGCACTGGCATCAGGGAGATGGGATTTATATAACCTGGATGTGATGGCTTAGCAAAAGTGAAATGTGCAGAAGTCTCTGTGTACAAATGAAGAGGTTGGGCCAGCTTGATAGTCTATGTTTAATTCTAAGAAATAGATGTGTAATTTTGAAATGTAAATTCAGTTCTTGTAGCTGCAGGGTGCCTGTCCTGTGGATAAAATGTTGAATCCACCACTTAAAGCATATGATCATTTCATCAAAATACATGAGAAATGCATGCTGTTTATATAAGCCAGGTGTAGTGCGAGATGCCGTCTCTAGATGTCTGACCTGAGAACACCCTTGCTTCTGACTTCGGCAGAAGCTATTACGTGGCAAGAAGGACAGGAGCCACCGGAGGGCAGCCTGAGCCAGTTTTAACGAATGTTGCTTCTCAGAATTGTAGAACAGTTCTCCCCGTTTTTATTTTTTTGAAGTCGCTGTAATTACTCTTCAAGGTTTAGAGAAGATGTACCAAAGTAGTTAATTGCTCTTTTTCTGCTGTGACAAGCTACTTTGGGCTCTACATAAATAGCATCACCCTAAGTGTATATACTGAAGACAAGGCAAGAAGTGACTTGTTGGGTGTTAACCTCACAGATTTGCATCGAAGTGGAACCAGGAGCTGACTGTCTTTAAGTGACGGACTCCCACATAAGCAAAGCAGATATTTGCAACACCTAACCAGCCTCTCTGGAAGCAGAAGAATCACCGATCCTGTGTTTTGAAACAGGGAGGGAATAAATGAAGCTTTGTTCACTGGTGCCCACAGCACATTAAAGCAAATACAACACTGGTGCTAAAAGGGTGATTCCACCCACCAGGTGTTTCCAGTTCAGTCTCCTCCCAAAAGCTGTCAAAAGAGAGGCAGTAACTTGAGGTGGACATGAAAATCCTTAGACACCTTTAACACAGCACTTCTATAGCTGTTTTGCTTTTCAGAAATGTGGGTCTGAAATTTTGGGTAACAGTAAATCTGTTGCTGAAACAACAGTCAGTTGTTTCAAACAACTGAAATAAAAGTCAAAAGAAATAGCCACAAAATGTGCTTAGAGTAGTGAGAGGCAGCATGCCTGTGTAAGAGCAACGTACCATGTGCTTCACAGCAGACACAATCTGGGAGAAGATTATTTTACACTCTGTTTCTAGCAGCTTTCCTTCTGTACTGATTTTAGTGAAGAGCTCCCCACCTCCTGCATATTCCATCACCAGGTGCAGTTTTGAGAGTGTCTCCACCACTTCATAGAGCCTGATGATATTTGGGTGGTGCAGCTTTTCCATGCTGGATATCTCACGAGACAGCAAACGTTGAGTCTTCCGGTCTAGCTTTGTCTTGTCCAAAATCTTAATTGCAACTTTCTCTGAGGAGAAAAACATTTTTTCCATGTTGTTAATGCAACAAAGTACAAATTGTAATACTATTTACATATAGTAATGCTTGGTTGTAGAAGTGCAATAAAATTTCACCTCATCAGTATAGACTAAGCTGCAGGGACCTACTGAGCCCTGCAATCTTTCATACAACCCCTGCTCCTTTCTGTCTGTGACATCCTACTCAGTGCTGGGGTAACTGAAGGCTGGTAGAGTATTCCAAGGGCTGATCAAATCATCTGCTGCCGTGGTGTGCTTTGCTGTGACAGGCTAATACGTATCTGAAGGCAGAGCAGCTGCTTTAGGTGTCCACTGCTGGTAGAGAAAGTCAGTGCTTTTGTTCTTAGCTCAGAGCTCCTCAGACGAGCCAGGTACTTGGACAC